TGGACCGGGGTCACACCACCCCCCACGCACTACGGACGCCATCCTGGGTTGTGATGTTGTATGGGATTAAGGATTCCCCCCGCCATAAAGCTGCCAAGGTGGAGAAACACTGGACTAGGGGCAAATCGTAGAGGCTTAAAAGATATATTTATATATTGGTAGTGTTATTCTTTGCTCTCCTTCTTTTTGAAACTGAGCTAAAGAATTCTAAATGTTTTGAAAACCTGGATGTTTGGACCAGAATAAATTAATGCAGATTAATGATATGCTTAATATTTGTGATTTCTGTGCTGCTTACAGAATTTGGTGTTTTTTGGCGTGGAGCCCTTTTTGCACTAGAGTTAAAATCATTGATCGATTATGTGCCATCAAGTCCTTGTCAACCTTCCCCTTAATAGCAAAATGCTTTTAGACATTCATGAGCGATAACAACCACTATTTGTTGAAAGGTTCATGAAAAATAGCAGAAGAGCTTTAATCAAAATCCTGGCTGCTTTTTCCCCACTTCAAATCCTGGCTTGAGATAAAGGTGCATCATACAATATCGGGTGGGGTTTCTTGCTTAAATTTAGCAGGGCAATACTTTACAGATCTCCAACACCAGAGACATGTTTTCCTTTTTGCCACCCAGAATTTATCTGCCGACTGAAATAGGATGTTCTTGGCCTGATGTTCAAGGGTATTCATGTGGATGGGTGAAGAACATGCAAGGAATGAAATTCCAAATCTGGGAAACCATTTTCCCTGGTGGACAGACACCTAATCTTGAAAGGTAGATGAACCCAGAGAATACCCTCATTGGTAGACTTTAGATAATGGGCAGATTCATTTGGGAGAAACAGTGTCCTGGTCCAAGATCATTTTGAACTGTCCTGGTCCAAGATACCCAACAGTTAGAATTAGGCTAAAACAAAGCAAACGTAAACAAACAGAATCCTTCTGCAAGTCGTTTTCTCTTGGAAAATTGAGAAAGATGTAAGCATTTCAGTAGGTTTCCATCAATAATCTTTCCCTACAATGTTTTGAATCAGCAAAAGTCTCCTGACGTTTTTCAAGGTCAGCTTCATGTAATATGTACTTTGTTTGATGAATGTATACTTCTGGCTAGGAAAATATAGTTGTGTGCCCGGGTAATTTAGGGAGATGTATCATTTGAATGTTATGTGTTTTATTTGTGACAGAGAAGAACGGTTCCTTGCTGATTCTTTGCCCCAAAAGGATGGCTGAGTTGCATTTGGTGTCTTCTGTTTTTGCAAGGCTTCTTCCTGATCTTAAGATGGCCTGGACTTGATGCGGTTCCCCATTCCGGCCCCTGCCCTGCGGCAGAATGGGGAGCAGCACTTCAGCCCTCAAAGTTTGCACTGACCACCAAGGAGGCATCAACTGGATCAGTCTGAGTCCAGATGGGCAGTGGCTGTTAACAGGCAGCGAAGATGGCACTGCGCGACTCTGGAGCACTGCCAACAACCAGTGTCAGGCCCATTTTCAAGGTAGGTAAATTTGCCCTTTGCCACTTAACTTGATTCTGGGATACAGATTGATTATGTGCCATCAAGTCAATATCAGCCCCTAGCGACCACATAGATAAACCTTCTCCAGGGTGATCTATCCCCAACCTGGTCCTTCAGGTCCTCCAGTGGTGTTGTAACTTAGTCCATCCATGTCGCTGTTGGTCATCCTCTTCTCTTTCTTTCCACCTTGCCCAGTATTATAGATTTCTAAAGAGAGCTAGGTCTCTGGGCTGATTGATTGGTTGATGGACTGATGAGCCATGAAGTTGTTGTTGACTCTTGCTGATCTTCTCCAAAATGATCTGTCTCCAGCCTGGCTGTTCAGGTCTCTCTGCAGTGTACCCATTGCTGCTATAATCAAATCCATCCATCTCTGCATTATAAACACTTCCAAATTATTGAGATAGATTGATGCCCATGTACCTGGAGCAATGGCATCGTAGAACCACCTGGGCAGTGCAGTGTGGCTGCTGCAGGCTTTTGTTCACTTGCTCTTGCACTTAATCACATACACAAACATGCCCTTTTTTTCCTGCTGTGTCTCATGACTCTGCCCTCCTGTCACCTTCAGTCCAGGAGTGAGACAGTCCTTGGCCATCCTGCTTTTAAAGTAGACATTGTAGGAAGACAGCCAGGTTAGGCTATGGTGGCCAACAATCAGAAGTCTGGTGTGGGTCTTCCGGGCTGTGTGGCCGTGTTCTTGAAGTTTTGTTTCCTAACGT